ATTTTGAAGATTGAGATTTGTAGGTTTGCCAGCACTGTTCCAGCTTTTGGGGTTCTTTCTAATTGCTTGCTAGCTCTGGTGGTGGGATGTAGCACTCGGGGAGCAGTCCCACATCTCGTCATCTTCCAGACCGCTTTTTGCCTCTCGACTGTACGAAAACTGAGTACTCTCAGTTTTTTAAAGTATTTTAAACACACTTGATTTGTGAATATGGTTRGTATCAACATAGTACATTCGGGAACACAAAAAATAACAGATTTGGAAAACTTAAAGGAAAACAACTATTTTCCTCTCTAGTTTTTAATCTTTGCACGTACTAGGTTGGCACTTTAACTTAGCTAATTTAGGACTTCAGTGTACAAATTTTTCAGTTTAAGCATTTTTTGGAAGCTCACTTTTCAGAGATTAGTCATGTTAAGAACTAGGTACCTTAGACATTAAAATTACCCAATTCTGCAGTGAAGTGGGGGAGGGGGGAGTCAATAGAATCCCAGATCAAAGAACCTGTGGAAGCAAAGAGTATCTGKTTTTTCCCTAGCTGTAGACTATCATAAACTACCTTGTAGTTTTTAAAGGATGCACGTTTTTTGTACTTCAGCTTCACGGGAAAGCTAGAAACGTAAAACCTTACATGCTAGAAGTCAAATGTACCTGAGGCCATGACTTGCAATTTCACTTTAGTTGGCTTGGCAACGTTGTATATTTTGCAAAATCCAACTTTTGGATTTAAATATGCCGTGATCAGGCCACATAAGACTTTAAGATTGAGAGGAATCTTTGATCCTTGCAAGACCTTTCCCCCGAGCTTTAGCGAGGTGAGAGGCCGGCGGGCCCCAGCGCTCCGCAATGGACTCCCGCACTCCTCTAACTTCATTCATTTTACCCGAGCCACCTCCTCGTCTCCAAAGAGCTGCTGCCTCCCGGCTGATCGAGGAGGGAGCGGGAGAGCCCGAGGTATTGCGGGGCGCAGCCCTGCTGCGGCCATTTTCTCGTCCCGGGGCCGGGAAAGCCGGCGGCCCCCGCGGCGGGCAGGTCCGGGCAGGGAAGCGCGGTTCAGGGAGGAGAGGGGCGGCAGCGCGGTGCGCTCCATCCCCGCGCTGCCGGAGCGCGTGCGGCAGAGCCCCGGCCAGGCCCGCCCGCCCCACCGGGGGCAACGGCAGCCGCTGCGCCGGGCCCGGCTGGAGCCGCTCGGGGGTGCCGGCGGCGGGCGCTCTGAGGGAGGAGCGGGTGCGCTGCCGCCGCTTCCTCCTACGCGGGGGCCGGAAGGCAGCGCGGCCCGGCAGCGGGAGAGGGCCGGGCCTCGGCGGTAGTGCCGCCGCTGCGGGTCAGCCACCCAGCCTTCCGCAGTGGGGGCGGGCAGGCCGGGGGAAGGGCCGGGCCCGCCGCCGCGCTGGGCGATGGAGTGAGGGAGCGCTGCGCGGCAGCGGGAAGATGGCCGGTGGCGGCGGCGGCGGTTGCAGAGACAGCTTGTTTCTGGAAGGTGCGTGCATGGCTGCGAGGGGGGAAATGTGGCCCGCGAGCTGCCTTTCCCTTCTGGCGACCAGTAAAGGGGCACGGCACAAACTGGGGAATGGGGGAGGCGGGCGTGTGAGTGCATATGGGGTGGGGGGTGGGGGTARTGGGTCYTCTTTGGGTGCGACGACAATGAGAGGTGGCTTCGTGGTGGGGGAAGGGTGGGTGCCGTGGCTAGGTCTGGGGAAAAGAGACCTGCCTTGAGAGAGGGCTTAGTGAGGGCGATTCGGTTCATTTTTCTTTTTTCTTTCTTTCTTTMTTTTACTGTTCCGAGGCGTAAGGAGTGCGGTGTTTCTTTCCTTTGTCGGGGCAGCGCCGAGAGCAGCCCGGGCTTGGTGCAGCTCGGTGCAGCTCGGCGGGCGTTGGGCTGGGGGCGCCGGGCAGGGTTAGCGCTGGGTGAGAGGGGAGGACAGGGCTGCATGGCCCGGCCCTCAGTCCGCTCCCAGGCCCCGGCCTAGCCCGTATTCTTTGGCCCCACTATAAAATGAGTCTTCGCCTGCTCCTAAAGGGCTCCTTTAAAGGTTTGGGACTGAGTATGATTTTGGGAAGGGGWTAATGCCTGTAATTGTGATGCGAAGGTGATGATGAACCTTGTTACCTGCATTTGAAAGAAAACCTTTTGCTTTTATAAAGCCCTTTTTTTAATTTTTTTTTTTTGTTATACGGGTTTGTTGCTTTGAGGGTTTTTTTGTCACTAAAGCTATTAATTACAATGCAGAAAGCTCCTGAAAATGGAATATTTTTAACTGTTGAACCTTTACAGTTCCATTAATACGTTAAAAAATCTACTACAGTAGTCTTGCAGAGTTGCTGTTAGCACATACCCTGCTGGTATAGACCAGTAGTCTGCTAAATTCTGCCAAATTACCATGATGATAACAAAGAAAAATTAATGAAATTARCCACTTCTCATAAGAAGAGTTTTTCAAGACAGGGATAAGTTTAGCATTGGAGATTTGCAGTACCTGTATCACAGAACATAAGCTCTTGCTGATTTTCTCTTGCTGCAGGATGTTGGATATTGGCTTTTTATTACTAGATGTTCTGGAATAGATGTACTGTGTGAACAAAATACTGCATGTTGTTTTGAATAATTAATCTGGAATACTGATGTTCAGAAACTCTGGTTAATAATAGCTGTCATGTTACCTCCCTTATACCTTTAAAGGATTTGGTGATGAAATGCAGATGCTCCATTTTTTTCCTGAAGCCTCCACAGACTATAGTTAGGTTTGTGCACACAGCTAAAATTGTCAAGGTGATGACTAGTCACTGTCTTCTATGTTCCCCTTGAGTACTGCCTAGTGGACAAGGTGTCTTAGAAAAGACAGATTTCATATGCAATATCCACATTTATTTTTGCTTGCAAGTTCTCTTTCCARCAGCAGGAGCACCACAACAACTGGATAGCATCTCCATTTGAAGCTTCAGTGTTCCATGATGGGTGAACTGAGTTATCAACTGTTTTTGTGTTTCCCTATTGTTTGGGGACTCATTCATTTTAGGACTGATGTTGTGATAGAAACCCTAAGAGTGGTGAGCCACGTGTGAAGAAAATCTAGTGTAGATGATGGTATTAAAAAAWTTATGGGGGTGGCCCAAGTCCAAATGGGGCAATCATACTGGGGCAGATTTAGTTAGAGCTGGGAAACTGCACAGAATATCTATAAAATGCTTATATGTATGCATGAGGTTCTTTGCTATCTGCAGTCTGGAAAGGTAGCATCAACCATGTTGATGTTAAATGTTAAAACTACCATTATCCAAAGGCTAGACAAGCATGAGAGTGCCATATTTGTGAAACAAGTATAATGAGGACAAAAAAGGGGACGAAAGTGTGTAGGGCAACTTCTAATGCAGGATGATAATTATTAATACATGAGCATAAAGTTGGATCTGTAACTTGTCTGAGCGTGTGTATTTCATTGACTCCTTTGAAGGCTGTGTTAGGAAGAACCAAAAATTGTTTGCTTGATTTTTTGGAAGTGTTTCCTTAAAGACATGCAAAGGTGTGGGGCTGGACTCCTTTGTCCATTGCAGTGTTAAATGTGCACAATAGAAGAAGTRTGGGCTAAATGGATGTTAGATCTACCACCAGTTAAACTCGTTCTAATGGAAATTGCTGGTTGAATACGGACCTTCATATATGTGTGTGTGTATACATGCATTTACATAGACATTTCTGGTGCTGTCATGCTTATGTTGCCTATCAGTCAGACTTAAATATACAAATTGCTTTTCAATGATAGTKTTTCAGAATTTTGATTTTGATTCCACATGTCTGGTGAGATACTGCTTTTCTTTCATTTAGTGTAACAGATGTTACTGTGAAGAACTGTGTTCATCATTCCACTGTCAAAGTGCTTCCTCTTAATATTTTTATTATTTTATTCTCCAGTAAAAACAAAATGGGTGTTTTTGGAGGGGTGTTCCTTGAATGATTTATTTGTTGCCTTTCTGGTAATACCATTCTTGAACATAGTGATTCATACTAGCACATGTTTTTTGTCCAGTTCTGTGTATCTAATGTGCATAATTTTTAATGCTTTATTTTATAGACTGTTTAATGGAAATATGAAAAGATTCCTAAGACAATAGTGTTGGACTCCTCTTTTTAAAGCTTCACTTGTTACCATTCTGAAGAAGTGCTGTTCACGGCCTGCATGATTACTTCACTTGAAGGACTGTTAGAAGTGTGGAAAGTACTCTATTTTTGTTATTTAATYGAGTTTGCAAGTGGAATTAGTAAAATAGTTCTGAATTTGCTTTTCTACAAAAGGTGATGTTTCAAAGTTATGGACCGAATATGTAGAAATTCACACTAACAGAGTAGTTCTGTTGCATGRGAATTCTTTCCTGATGTGGAGGAGTAGAAGTTTAGTGATTAGAGATTTCCGTCTGCTGCRGTTCCTGTGTTTTTTAAATGATAGTCACACTTAAAATATAAAAAATGATAGGCAAATTCATTTGGATTTAAAGTAGAAGGTATATTAAACATGTGGGAATGGAGAGTACTGTTGATCATTACCCTGGAGAAAAATTGTGGAGACTCTCTTGTTTTCTGCCTCCTTACTGATTTGCAAGGAAATTGTAATTCTTTTCCAGCATGGAATTTGAAGTTTACTAATGTTTATGCAGTAGGTAATAGGTAAGCTTTAAAATATTTTCCAGAARCAGGGAGAAATGTTTTATTCTCTTCTGTTTTCTTATTTCATCTCCTGTTGGTTACAGTAGTGATACTGAGAACCAGTATYGAATTTTCTTTTCAAGGATCTCCTTTCTAAGGAATGTTGCCAGTCCSTAGCTTCAGAGCTGTTGAGATATTTCAGTGCAGTTGTAAGAGGAATTTGCTCAATTTTCATTCCTGTTTCTTGGCTACAGGTTTCCTAATAACGGTAGAGAAAASTATGTGGGCTACCTGTTAGCAGCAGCAGTATAAACTTCACAGTTGTCTGCCAGAGAACTCCAGAAGACTGCTTTGTTCTTCCTTCAGTTCACATGTAAAGAATTGCCTTCACCAAAGCAAGAGTTGTAGACTTAGGTATTTTATTAAAGGTAGCTGAGATTCTGGGGTGGTACAGAAAGATGCAATTTTTGTGTATTAATGTAGAGTTTGAAGTGGTGGTCAACCCTTCCTTTCTCTTTTGGTTTTTTTTGTTGTTTTTTTTTTGTTTGTTTGTTTGTTTGTTTTTCCTTCTGTTTTTAATCAAATTGAGAATTCTCTGACTGGAGTAATACAAATTAGGAGGCTGGAGTGGAGTTCATATTCAGGTAGAACACTTGAAACCTTTCTACCTGCCAGACTCTTCTCTTTATTTTTCTCTTGACAGTGAAATTTAATTATTGATTGTTGTAATTGTCTTTGATCAGTCTCTGGTGCTTTGTTCTAATGGACATTGTGATTAGTTTGAAAATGTGGGGAAGAGTTGTTTCAGGTATCATTGATTTCTGTGTCTTTCTAAACTCCTGCTTTATCCTGTTGAATTCTTYTCTGGTTTGCATCAATCCCATGAATGTCCAGACAGGTTCTGTTACTTTCTTCTGCTTTTCTTGAGTGGTTTTCTTATGAGAAAGTGCGAAGTTTGTGACTTGTTTATATATCCCAGTCCTTCRACCAATTAAARATTTTTTTCCTGCACAGCATATGTSTCTTCTTAGACTTGCAGAATGTTCAGCTGTCCTTTCCAGTGGTTTTGAGAAAATAAACCTTCTTATTGACTTCAATAATRAAGTATTTTCTATGAGTGAAATTTAGTTGTTGAGAATTATTTCTCAACAAAGTCAAATTGAAAACATTTCTTACTGTCTTATTTTTAATACATGCCGGACTAACTTGGGTGATAGATGGCATGAAATACTAACAAAGACAGGGTGCTTCTTAAAAAAATGTAGGAAGATACTAAAAAGAAACCTAATTTATCTATTACTGCTCTATAACATACATTRCAAAATGCTTGGGAGCACATTCTAAGGTAAAAGCCTATGCTACAGTCCTCTTGCACATCATCACCTTCTTAATTTTGAGACATAGGATTCTAGGAGCCCAGGCTCATCCTGAGTTTTCTCAAGTATAAAGGATCTGTGTGCAATTTTCTAGTTTTCATTGCGGAGGCATTTTTTATTTYGTAATTTTTAATTGCTGCTGTATTAATTTTTCACAAAGTGGGACATACAAGTTTCAGGTATAAGACTAATTGTCTTGTTTGGGATGCCTCATCCATTATTTTCTGGCACTTGGATTTGGTAGTAAAGCACAGCTTTTTCCTCAGAAAAGGTACAGAATTTGTAGTGGATTTTAGTGGCAAAAAATAATTAAATGAGAATGTTCCTAAAAGAGATCCTTACACTCTTCTTTATGTAAGTTTTAAATAAAAAAAAATAATAGTAATAACAGAAGTAGCAACATTAATATATGGTTTGGTAGCAAATGTAAACCAACAGTTTGTAGATGTCATGCTTGCACAGATA